AGTATAGATCAATAGATTTTAATGTAACAGAGTATAAAAAGTTAATTGATGTGGTTTCAGATTTCACACTGCAAAGAACCTTTAAGAAATTATCACTTATTGAGTTTTGGTGTGGTATCAAAGAAGAGTATCTGCCAATTATCTGAAAAAGATATAAAATATTCCCATCTTTAAATGGGTATGTATTTAAGGCCAGACTTTTTGGTTACTTTCAAAAACAATGTGTTGCAACAGACCGGCTACAGCAGATGTGAAAATCTGGCTCTCTTCTATTATACTAGACATGAAAGATATTTTCAAAAAGGTAATAGAGATTTTTCATAAAAATATTATTTACATTAGTGTCTAATGAGTTTATTATTTTAATGAATTAAAGAAACATATTAAAAATTTCCCAATTTTGGTTTCTGAAATGGCAAATACTGACAGATTTAATCCATATAAACAATAGTTCTTTGGAGACTTCAATAGTTTTTAAGACTTAAGGGCTTTCAAAAACCAAAAAAATTTGAGAACTGATACAGATTTTGGTACACTTCACATGGAATAATGGTTACAAGGTTTCAGACACTTATCTGAGGTCTGTACTTCAAATCAGGGTTAGGATTACTTTTTAGAAAATCATAGAAAGTGTATTTACCTGACATTGGCGGCGTAGAACAATGCAAGGATGGGCCAGTACATTTTCTGTAAAAAGACTAAAAAGGAATAATTTATATTTACAACATATTTAATTTAATTTACAATGTGTATGTATCTGAATTTATTCTTCAAGAATCATGCATTATTCTTAAAAGCAAAAAAAAAAGCTTTTCAAATGTCTGGACATGTTTGCAAATCATTCTGCCAATAACAAGATTCAACATGAAAAAAACTAAAGCCAGATTTGCAAACTGGTAAGCAAAGGAAACAATAGATAATAATATGTACAGTGTAAAGATGAAACTACATCTTGCATGCCTGATATAGAAAACTCATTTCCTAAACAATTTAAATGCCCCTTTCCCCTTCTTTCAGAGGATGTCTGAAACAATATTCCTATCAGAAGAGTCATCTGCCCTTCATGAACTCCATTCTATAAATTTTGGATTTGACATACTTTGCACTTAAGTTATAGGGATTTTAATGACCATGTAAGTGAAACCTAGATGCTATGTTGCTAAATATCTTGTTATAGTTTGAAATGTTCAGGAAAAAGTTTCAATACACAACTACTTTTTTTGGAGGGTAAGACAAGATTGTATTTTATTTTATTCTTTGGATAGATACAAGAAAGTTCTTAAAATATTCCTTACAAAATTATTTAGTGATTATAAAATTAAATGACTATTCGCTATCCTTATTGGGAAAAATCAAATTATAGATTTTAATAATTTTGTTCTGCCAAGTATTTTTCAATATTTAATCTACTGTTTCAAAGAATCCATCTAAAGGAAACAATATTAGTCACTGAATGTTACAAATTATAGAAATTAAAGAAAAAACTTTAAATAAGAGAGTGAATTAAAAATTTTTTCATAAAACATTACCTTGCAAGTCCAATACCAAATCCAGCAAATCTATTCAACTGTTCTAAAATAGAAGGAATAAGATTACTCATAACCAGTATTTAGACTTACTGTAAAAATAACAAAAAATTTTCTTTTATTAACATGATACTCATTTAAACTTCATGTCCCAAAGTCACATTCTGATAGGGGCTAGGGAGTCCATTTGAATGAGTGAAGGGTTCTATCAGGGATTGTGGCAAGCTGCAAGGTGTAGACCTTCTAAAGGTACAGTTGCTTTTCAGCTCCAGTTCATTGTTGCGACACGGGACTGTAAACCCAGTGTTTCAAAGCTGTGATTTTTCTAAAGAGATGGTCTCATTTTTATATAGTATCTTCCAATTTTAAGATATCGGCAACTATTTTTAAGAGTGTTAAAATGTTGCGAGGATCAAATCAAACACCTTTGCAGGTAGAATCTAAGGGCTCCCAGTTTTCAACTTCCATACAATTTTTTCTAGAGAAGGCTCTGACTGATCCTTGCACCACCTTTATCTCCTATGTTGTAAAACTAGTCATTCACTGTTGCTGGTGGAGAGCATCTATGTTAAGCCAATAGTTGCAAGCAAAAAAAAAAAGAAGAAAATTACTAAATTGAAAGAGCACTTAGGGTAATTGAAATGGGTAAATAAGGCTCTCTTCTTTTTCTCCCCAAATACTTTAACAGTAGCTGCTTAGTTACGTCTCTGTGCTAGGCTACTGTGTACATAATGTGCTACTGCTGATGGCATATCTCTAGCCTTATTAGAAGAGTTTACAGCTGGAAAAATTGCTATGTATATGTCAAAACAGAAACATTTTTTCTTCTCCTTGACTAAAAAGCTCAAAATCATAATGGTGAAATATCACAACTCCAGGACACTAGACATTAAATTTCAGCTATAATACAGTATTCCCAAGGGGTACTTTTTCTCTTCCTCTTTTCTCTCTCTCCTCTCTTCTCCAGTCCCTCTGTCTCATCTCTGCTCTTCTGAATGAAGTTATGCCCTATTTCTTGACAGTCAGAACAAGGCCATGTAAACAGTCTCTGGAGAAACCATTTGGTTCACCCTTGCCTTGAAAAATGTATAAGCCAGATAGAGGCTTCTTTTGCTCAATTAAGATACTTTCCTCCTTTCAGCTTTTCCTTTTTTTGTGTGTGTACAAGCCATCTCCTAGTATTAACAGAATATACCACTGACATTTTCTGGAAGATAAGGTTTACTATTGTAAACCTCCGCTTCCATCCTCCTTGAAAACTTACATTCACCAGCCTCTTAACTGCTGTAAAATCCCCCATATAACCCTGGTTATTAAGAGCTCCTCCTCATTGTAACCATCCAAGCATAAATTATGAAAAAATTAAAAACATCACCTTTACTGCCTAAGAAGGTAACTGTGTAGCAACCGTACATGCACTCTGAATTATTTAATTTATAACTTTCCAGGAATCCTTCTGGGACCTATAGGGAAAAAAACCAAAACTAGCCAGAGTGAAAAAAACTGAGTGACACTGAGTTAAGTCACTGATCCTCTTCCATCTATCCTCACTTGATGATATTGAAAGTCTATTCCTCCCAGTAACCCAAATCAAATAAATATTACTGTACTTCCAAGTCAAAAATCAAAGAAATGATAAAATTTGTGTCTAGAATACACATAATATTAAATGATATAATCTATTATTCTAACAATTTCAGGAGAGTGAGAAGAGGCAGTCATTACTTCCATTTTATGAATACAGAAGATGTTGAGAACACCTAGGTCATAGTGTCGCAGTTAAAACACAGGTCTTCTGACACCCTACAGAAAATAACTGTCTCGATTCCAAAGTCTTATCTTGAAAATGTCCCAGTGTCTTTTACTCTTAAGTGGAGTTTAGGTCAGGAAAAGGAGAGCAGGTGGTGGGAAAACACAGGAATACTTTGAGGATCTAGAAAACAGACACAACCACTAGGATTAAATGGGAAATGGAAAGAAAGAAAGGAGTATTTTTTAGCCAACTTTATGCTCCTTACTGTACTAGGCACCACTCACACCTCATTTCATTTAACACTTATAAAACCTTGAGTTATTTTTATATACACCTTAAAGGTGAGAAAACAGAGATTACAGACGTTAAGAAAGTCAGCTTTTAAGAGTGGTAGAGACAGGTTTAAGAGCAAGACTACCTATGCTGGAAAAAAGCCTCTTTCCACAACACAAAGGCACCATCGATTAATTTTAAATCAAGGAAATAGAGCTGCCGGTCAGTTAGGTGTTGTTTCCCATGATTCCCAGTAAACAATCCTATTTCCTTCTTTCTTGATTGAGGTCATGGGATGTAATACCCTCCCAAATTCCAACCGTGCAGCCCACAGCTAAGGCAGGTGTCGTTTTTGGAGGTGATCCCGGAGATAACATTAGTGTGAGGAAGAGGGAGGAGGCCCGCCGGAGAGGCAGAGGACGAAAGGAGGGCAGAGGGTGTGGCGCTCGATAGGCCGAGAGGCCGGGAGGCGGGACCCTCCGCGCGGCTTCCGGGGTCTGCAGGACCCGGCGGCTGCCGCAACACTCCGCCCGCCCTCCCCTCGCGCCCCACGTCCCTCACCGCTGCTCTGGCCGGGCACGCTGCTGCCGCCGCCGCTGCTGCCGGGAAAGGGTTCTTCTGCGGGGCCCTCGAGCGGGGTGGAGGGGGC